CTACGAAGACACACCGTCGTATTTCATACCACACCACGGGGTCATTAGGGAGGACAAACTTACATCTAAGTTACGTGTAGTGCTCGACGCTAGTGCTAAAACTAGCACTCACCTGTCGCTTAACGATATCCTCTATAGTGGGCAAAATTTACAGGGCAGTTTATTTAATATAATAGCCAATTTTCGTTTGTTTAGTATAGCACTATCCGCCGATATTCGCCAAATGTTTCTTTGCATAGGGGTCCGTGAATGCGACCGTAGATTCCAACGCATTTTATATCGTTTCAACCCAAAGGAACCTCTAATGGTGTTTGAATTTAACCGCGTTTGCTTTGGTTTAAAGTCGAGCCCATTTCATGCGTTACGCACGGTGAGACAGCTCGCCCACGATGAAGGTCCCTCTTATCCTAAAGCTAAGAGGGCAATTGAAAGTGGATTATATATGGATGAATTTGTGTACTCGGTCGATAGCGTGGAGGAGGCCACCCTAACCACCGCTGAGATTATAAAGCTCATGAAATCAGGTCAATTCGATCTTGTCAAGTGGACTAGTAATTCGCGTCCGGTTCTAGATATAATCTCACTATCACACCGTCTTTCGGCGATAAAGGAATTCGACGATTCTGATACACACAAGGTGCTCGGTCTGTGCTGGTCACCAGAGTCCGACATGTTTAGCCTTAAGGTAAATCCGCCCGTAGAGAAGTGCACAAAGCGCACAATACTGTCATGCGTTGCTAGATTATGGGATGTCATGGGTTTCGTAGCTCCGGTGGTATTGTACGCTAAGCTTTTGATTAAACAGTTTTGGTTATTTGAATGCGACTGGGATGACTCGCCGCCTGACAGTATTGTTCGTTTGTGGCAGCGTTTTAGAGAGGAACTTCCTTTACTAAGAGAAATTAAAATACCGCGTCATATAAACGTCGATAGAAATAGCGTCATCACGGTCATTGGGTTTGCAGACGCCAGCGAGAAGGCTTACGGGGGCGTTGTAAATTTCCACGTCCAGAATAATGGTAGAAATTCGATTAGCCTCATTAGTTCTAAGTCGAGAGTCTCCCCCCGTAAGGTTGTCTCTCTGGCGCGCTTAGAGCTTTGCGCAATATTAGTCACCAAGCTTATTACCGCAGTTATCAGCGCATGTAGGGATAGAGTTCACATAGAAAGGATATTTGCCTTTTCCGACTCCACCGTCGCCTTATGCTGGTTTCATTCTTCACCCCACCGTTAGGATACGTTTGTCGCGAACCGAGTGGCCAAGATACAAGACGAGTTAGGAACGCGGAACTTTTATCACGTGTCCGGTACGGAAAACCCTGCCGATTGTCTATCCCGTGGACTCACCCCGATGCAAATAATGGACCACCCGCTTTGGTTCCACGGACCTTCTTGGGTTCACTTGGATCCCTCGCAATGGCCAATAACCGATTTCGAACCTTCATCAGTGTCACAACCGCCGGAAGAGAAGAGACACGCTCTAGTGGCGAACGTTTCTCCAATCATTGCTTTGGCGAACCGCTTGTCCTCTTGGTCGAAATTATTGCGTAGCGTAATTTACGTTTGTCGATTCGCGAAGCTTTTACCGCGACGTTCGTATGTCTTTTCGTCCGATTACGACTTTGCCGAGTTGCTAGTATTGCGTGAACTTCAACGTGCGCATTTCTCGGAAGAAATTACAAGATTACAATCGAATAGAGCTTGTAGTCGCGCCTTTCAACGCCTTAAGCCATTTTTACAGGATGGGATTGTAAGGGTAGGTGGACGCTTGTCCAACTCGCAGTTGAGTTTCGACCAACGGCACCCTATAGTTTTACCGCGTAAAGGCCATATCATGAATTTATTAGTCGATTACCATCATAAATTGAATTCGCACGCTGGCCCCGACTTGCTGATGTCGAGCTTGCGTCAGAATTATTGGATTCTTTCTGCACGTAATTTAATCCGCAATCGGGTGCACAGATGTATAGCTTGCTTTCGGACACGCCCCAAACCGTCATTTCCGGAAATGGCGGAACTTAGATCTTGTCGAGTGATACAATCAGTAAAGCCCTTTACGCACATCGGGTCTGATTTCGCTGGTCCGTTTAAGGTCACGCTCACTCGCGGGCGTGGTATAAGATCCACAAAGACTTACGTCTGCATTTTCGTATGTCTAACTACAAGAGCGGTGCATATAGAACTCGTTGGTGATCTAAGCACAGCAGGCTTTATGGGTGCATTTAAAAGATTTCTTTCCCGCCGTGGCCCTGTAAGTAAATTTTATTCGGATAACGGTACGAACTACGTCGGTGCAAAACGTATTTTATCAGAACTACATGAGCTCTTAGCTAGCAAGTATTATAATTCGGAGTTCGCTCACATTCTAGCCGAGAACCGCATCGAGTGGTCTCTGAACGTCCCAGCCGCGAGTCATTTTGGGGGCAATTGGGAGACTAATATTAAGAGTCTGAACAGTCACTTATACCGAGTAATAGGAGATCAAATTTTGTCCTTCGAAGAGCTAAGTACGGTGCTCGCTCAAATTGAATGCGTAATGAATAGCCGCTCACTTTGTCGTACGTTGCTATGACCCTCGCACTGACTCTAACTCCAGCACATTTTTTGAATTTAACGCCTTTAAAGTATTTACCCGCCGTAGATATGGATGAGAATAGACTTAGCATTTCCGCACGCCACAAATTATTAGACCGGTTAGTGCAATCGTTTTGGAAACGATGGAGGATGGAATACTTGCATACTTTGCAGTCTCGGCAAAAATGGAACACAGCAACTGAGCCTTTAGCTGTAGGAACTGTAGTTGTGCTCACCAAAGAGAATACGCCGCCTCTCCATTGGCCGTTAGGAATTCTCTAAGAGGTCTTTCCCGGTTCCGACGGAGTAATTAGGGTAGCTCGCGTTAAGACCACAGTTGGGTCTTACATGTGTCCTGTTGTCCGTTTGTGCCCCTTGCCTCTTCCATAATTTAAGTTAGCTTTCTAGATTAGAAATTGTAGTTGAATTTAGGTAATCTTAGCGTTAGTTAGTTATTTTGTTAGTTTGATCTTAGCTCTAGTTGTTTTAATTATTTTTTGAAGGAAATCCTTCAAGGGCGGGGGAGATGGTTGCGCGGAAAACCATTCGTATTTATTTATATTTGACGGTAGGCTTGCCAAATCGTTTATCCCTTTCCAAATGATATCATTCATACCCTCCTATCGACACATCGGGTGGTGGGGTGGGAGGGGAAAGAAGATGATTCTAGAATATTACGCGATCATCGCAACCGAAGGAATAAAAAGGCACGCGCGGCCGACGCGCACTCACTTCCCGCCACGCTCGTCGTTGGAACCACACCGCTTAAGACAATAGTGTCATAGAAGGGCTATTGCCCATGCGCACCGCTAGTATATCCGCTTTAGCCTGGAAGCAGTCGAGCTCCAGGAAACCCGCCTCACCTCGTGTGAGAAATAGTCGCGCACCGCACTCTCTCCCGACGTATCACCGGACAAGAAAGGCTGGGGCCCCAGAGAGTCTACCCAGAGTATCTTCCAGAAGTCGCAGCAACATAGTGCCCAAGCCGCATAGAAACAACACCCCGGTGAGTGAATATTCCTTACTAGTTACTGCTTGATATAATTGTGTCCGCCCCCAATTTATTTTCTCCTAATCAAGCAGGATTCCTTTCATAGATTTGGCAAATAATAGTTCGTTTTAGGGAAGAGCGAGTGCATTGTATGGGAAACCGCGTGCTATAGTCGCCATTTTGGGTAAACGAAGAAGCATTTCGCGTATACAGTCCACTTTGGTTAATATCTCGCGTAATAGGTTTAAGGTTCGACCGGGGAATTAGACTTCGGTAACCTTAGGCTCGTCGCTCCACCAAATACAATTTGGAAGGCATATGCATTTTTTAGGCTAACATGTGTACCATCTAAAACCCTGTTATCACTTTTTGGGATATTCGTCAAATGCAGGCCTATATTATTGATTAAAAAATAGAAAAAACCTGACGTCCGTAAAGTGACCAAAAAATGCCTCCTTACACTCACTATCTAGTAAAACTTTATAATTTTATTTATTTTGTAATGTCACATTTATGGCCCTCTGCATTAGTACTAAAATTATTCGCTGCTAGAAACTCGCTCATGAAACTGTAGTTTCATTTCTTTCTTCTGGCATGACTGTAACTTTAACTCTGGGGTTAGACGTTAACCGTAGTAAATTGTGAGGTTTATTTTATTCTATGTTTGTTGAACACGTTTTTATTGTCTGTAGATATAGAGGAATGTTTCCAGGTAGAACTTTAAAGTGTGTGACGCTGTGCTTCTAATACTAAAGATTTGGTATGAAAGTATTTTCAAACAAGATGTGTACCTTATCTTGTTTGAAAATACTTTAGTAATTTATGTTAGGCGGTGTAGGAAATCACTTCGAGAATCACGGTAGTTAAAATATGGAATGAAATCAGTAAGTTTGATGAAAAATACATTGTGAATAATCGTATTGCTATTTGTTTCAAAGTGTGTTAATGTAATTGTCAAAAAAGTGTAATATCGACTGATCCAGTTTGTAAGAATCGTTCATAAGTATAGTTTATTTATATATCTGTGTCTACTCTGTACCGCTAACCAATAGCAATTTCACCAGTAGCATTTTACCTTAATGCTATAATCCTAAATAAATTTTAACGTAAAAAATAAACTAACATTCTAAAAATGTCTGTTGTAATGACACTATTGTTATAAAATAGTATTATGATAAAAGTTTCTATTATAAATCATCATTGTGAGGAATCAATACAGACTCAGAAATTTTCTAAAGAATTTCCAAAGGAACAGAACATGAGGAAATGATGATTTAAAAAGGGGGATCTTAATTAGCCTACAAACATTAGTAAAGTAATTAGATTAAATAATAATAAACTAAAGCTTTAAAGACGTTACATATTTCCTAAAAACGATACCGTATTTATGGGTTAAACATCACAAATTTAATTTTTTTATTTTTTATTTTTACAGAAAAGGAAGGGTTCCTTCGCATAGGGTCGCTGAATGTGCGAGTAAAAAAGACAACGGAGGCGTTTAGTAACTTTCTAGGAGTAGGTGCAACGCGGTCATCGGCGTATGTACCGAAATCTGCGAGGGAAAGAGAAATGGACAGACGATATGATGACGGAGACCAGCTGCATAAGACTTGGGGCTCGGCTGATAATATACCGGTATTGTTCATTTTAATAATCCAATACTTCCTGCTGGACCCATTTTTCGAATTTACTAATAACTTGAAAGTTAAATATGAGATTAAATCATATGAAAATGTGTGTAGACTTGTAAAGGTGACTACAATATTTAAAAAAATAATTTTAACTCAAATTTATTTTCTTAAATCTGTAGTGACAAACGAACTAACAGTCAACCTGCCCCAAACTACACGAAGAAACTACGAAGAAGGCTACATATGTATGTCTTTTTACCTCTAGGAAATAATATGCAATACCTCTCAGCCTGTAATTATACTGGCTCCCTTTACCTTTCAAAATGGAATAAAGAAATGCAAACGCCACTATTTGGCGGTAGCATTTATATATACGCAGTACGCACTAGATTTCGCATTCCGAACACTCGCTATGTTCAACTGAACTGTACTGCATTCCGTACACCTGTTATTGTAGCATATATGCAAAATAAACAAAAATGAAAAAAATGTACTCGGTTAAAAATACAATCAAAATAAACAATTATTTACTATGACAATTTTCGCGCGTTGTGTGCGCATGTGCGGATACAGAGTAGTGCACATTTTTGTTAGGAATAGCTTCTCTAGTACGTAGTACATATAACTCAATGGGCGGCAGAAATAGGTAAGGGAGTGGTGGTGGCTCAGATGAACATACAGGTAGAAACTTCTTTTCTTTTCTTCTTTCCTAGCACTCAACTTCGTTTATCTACTCCGCAACAAAGTTTACACTTATGTGTATTTTCCACTTCCTTCTAAAATAGCTATTTTGATAGTCGTTTAAGTTTTTGAACAGTTATGGTCTTTAGTAAGAGACTGTCTAAAACACTCATGGTAGAATTTGTCATGATCACAACACTTGAGAGGCAGATCAATGATCAAGTACTAGACAACTCGTACGTTAATACAGCTTATTTTCGCCGATCTAGATAAATTTTATCGTATAGAGGCGCGACGCGCATGCAATTCCTGAGGATTGCAGACTCGTTTTCTGCCTCTTATAAAGAAGTAGGCTCTTTTCTTAAAAGCTCCTTATGCGTGACAGTCCAGAGAAAAAGTTCACCAATGGCGACTACATTGATGATGTTCTACTTGACTACGCTGAAAACAATTAAATACACGTTAATTAAGGATAACTCAAAAACTTCTAATCAGATCTTGTTAAAAATTTATATCCACTCGAATATCGGGGTCATTTTGGCCAATATGGCGCATCTGTCGAGCTCTTTCCGAAGTAGTAAGTATATAACAAGTATATTAAGTATATATATATATATATATATATATATATATATATATATATATATATATATATATAAAAACATATATTATTATATTTCCATTTATAGTTTCCATTGATATATGATTTTAGTATATTGTACTAAGTATACTAAAATCATATATCAATGGAAACGTTATTAAATAAGCTATCAGATTATGAATAACAGATATATATGTATGTTATGAATATCATATATATGTTACAAATAGTTTGCTATCACTCGACGCCATATTGGCGTTTGACATATGCGCATATTACTTGAGACGCCAGAATATGGCGTTTGTATAGACGAGGGGGGACGAGGATCACATGAGAGGCATCAGTTTTCAAATAAAAAAATAATCATAAAAAGCGGTTCACCTAGAAAAAAGTTCTGAGGTGACACATAAATAACAGTCGAATTGAAAACCTCCTCCTTTTTTGAAGTCGGTTAATAAATTGATGAGCCTTATACTCTATTGTACAAGATAGACCTGAAATCGTGCAAACGCAACTTTGTGGTGGTTTACTAAGTGGTCGGTGCTTCTACGTGTCTCTACTCTACAAAGTACGCCAAAATGTATTCGGACTAGGTGGTTAACATGTTATTTGGACACTGCGGCGGAGTTGTCCCTGATCCAAATAATCCTCTCATAAGAGAAGAAAGTATGTGACCTTGCTGATCCATCCCAAGTCCACTGCTGAACATAGGCCTCTCAAAGTAATGCTAGAAAGTACGGTCCTGAGCCAGCTGCACCAGCTGCTGACTTTCTGCATCTTTTATCAGTTCGTCACTCCATCCTCTATTTGTACGCTAGTGTTAATATAGTAAACATAAACACTTATGCCACAAAGCACGGTCCTGAGCCACCTGCATCCATCGACTTCCTGCATGTCTTACCAGGTCGTCACTCCATTTAGTGGGGGGTCGCCCTATACTTCGCCTACAGGTACGAGGCTGCCACTCAAGAACCTTTTTTCCCCGGTTGGTTTCAACGGTTGTCGGTTCTTCGAGCTATGTGGCCGGCCCACTGGCACTTCAGCTTACTAATCCGTTGGGCTATGTCGATCACTCTAGTTCTACTGCGGATATCCTCATTTCTAACTTTCACGCAGAGAAACTCCGAGCATAGCCCTCTCCGTGCTTTGTGGCATACCTTGGGTGAGGCCTATGTTCAGCAGTGGACTTGTGAAGGGCTGTAATGATAATGACGATGATGAAACACTTATACCTATCACCCAGAGGGATAGGCAAAGACTAGGGATTTCTATTTGGCACGATCCTGACACACCTATCTCGACTCCTTTACATCCATATACTTACGCATACATGCTTGTCGGTTAAAGGTACTCTTAATCTGACTCATCTTCAATAAATCGCCAATTTGGTCAAATAACTTTCGTCTAGGGCCTTCTCGACTATGCAGTTCTCATGTTAATGTATTTTACAATAATTTCTAAAAGATAATATCGACTGATCCAGTTTGGAAGAATCGTTCATAAGTATAGTTTATTTATATATCTGTGTCTACTGTGTACGGCTAACCAATAGCAATTTCACCGGTAGCATTTTATCTTAATGCTATAATCCTAAATAAATTTTAACGTAAAAAATAAACTAACATTCTAAAAATGTCTGTTGTAATGAAACTATTGTTATAAAATCGTATTATGATAAAAGCTTCTATTATAAATCATCATTGTGAGGAATCAATACAGACTCATAAATTTTCTAAAGAATGGCCAAAGGAATTTTGTAAAGTTGTAAGATGTCAGATAAAGCTTGCATAAACTTTTGTTGATATAAATAAGTATTACGAATATGATTAATAAAAACTCTTAATTTTACTAAGTCATAGACTAAATGAATTTATCGACATCGTTTTTTGTTTCGCTAATGGCAAATCAATAGAGGTGTCTATGGAGTGGAAAAACGGTAACAAACTTGTAAAAGAAGGAAGTTAAGAATAATATAGCTATCTTATTTTGTTCTATGTTAAACGTCATATATATAAAGACTTCAGCTATAAGAATTTTTTTCCTATTTTAGGATGCTAGTATTTACTCTGAGCTTGTACTTGACAACAACGGAATAAGGAAAAGATTTTCTCTTTCCAGCACACCTTAATCAAACTGTAGTACTTCACTAAAGATAGTTCAGACAAAGTCACAGGGAAATTTCCGTAATTTTCCGTACTTTGTAAAATATTACTTTTTTGTGCATGGCATTAAAAAACGTTGTTGTTTTATAGAAAGATGATAAACTGATGCCACCGCCAATCAGCAGTAAAGTGCGACGCCGGGGAGCCAGCGGCAGACGTGGAGTGGGTGCCCATAGTAGAAGCACGCCTTCCACGCCTGATCAGGTATGTCTGTGAAGATAACGATTTAGCAAATTAATTTGTTTTAATTAAATAAAATTTCGCTCACCAGATGTCGCTGCTTGGTTGTATAATAATAATAATAAGAAATAATAATGAGAAGTTGCGTTTTAAAGAATATAAGTTTATCAGTTTCTCATCAGAGATTTTTCCGGACCGCTACGACTTAGGGACCTTCATGAAAAGAGCCTATTCCTTTTTAGGCCGGTAACGCATCTGCAATTCCCCTGGTATTGCAGCTGTTCATGGGCGGCGATAATCACTTGCCATCAGGTGCGCCGTATGCTCGTTTGCCCCCTCTCCTATAAAAAAGCAATGCCTCAGTGGTTTGCTTTTGATTCTTTTGCAAATTTAACTAATTAATTTATTTAAGGAATATCCGTAGTTTGGTTTAAAACATTTCTAATCAAATAAATACATAATTGAACTAACATTGCAGAAAGAAACATTAACCTTTACATTTTTCTATCAAATTAACTTTCCCGCCATTAAATCTCATATATTTCGCCTTGTTACTTTTTAACATTTCATGTCAAGTTTCGGTAGTTTTCGAATAAGATAGTGATGATGAGTTATATGATATGGAGGTGGGCAAAGTGTATCATTTTTGCGATTGGAACATTTGCATCTCGATCATTGAAATGTTCCGAAACACTGATATGTTTCATTTGGCTCATTTGGATCATTGATTCAAAAGATATAAAATACGGAATGTTACGAATACATTAAGTTGCGTCGCGAGCGTTTATTACTGACTGATTCAGTGAAATGTTATATGGCAACAATGCTGAATGATATAAGTGCTTAGATTATTTTATTATATAGTTATTGTTATTTATTGTGTACCGTAATAAGGTTGTATATAAAATTGATCCTCCTTTATATTTATCCAGGCTTAGGACCAGGCGGCTAGTCCTTAATTTATGACCAGCTGGCGTATGAAAAGGAAGAAAGTATAATAAGTCACAATAATCACTACGCAGAGAAATCCTAAACAGAAATCAGTATGTTTTCGTAAACAGGCGCAAACGAACAAAACAATTTAACAAGTGCCGAATCAACGTAAAATGACAACTTTTTACTGTAAACATTATATGCAAAAGACGACCGTATGGTATTTGATACGTAAGCGCCTTAATGGTCATTTTTGCGTGCATGAATAACTATAGCGTAAATCTGTACGAGTTGAGTGACACACTGCTCATTTGTTACCTCTTTCTGACTTGTATAGATTGTAATTATTTCGCGCGCCACTCACCACTTTGTCGCTCGTGGCTAATCGCCTTGCGAGCGAGACGCGTCGCGCTTAATGCGCACAGCGCAAAGTAATGTTCCAGATCGAGATCCAAATGATACATTTGAAACGTTGTCACTTAACCAATCTTTTGAATCACTTCTGTGATTCGAATCAGTGAGTCAGTTCCGTAAAGAGTTACACACGCCTAATATGATAGTATTTAGTATCCAAATGAAAGATCTACTTCGTGTGAATTTGTATGTAATCCAACTCAAGTTGCTACTATTTTCTTAACGTTTCAATTTATTCTGCCTGTCTAGTCGATAATAATACATTTATATGAGCATTATAGTTTTGACTTAGAGCCGATTTTTCAATCCAAATTAAAACTTATTCATAGTCTAAATAGTAGTATAGTTTAAATAAAATAGTTCAATTGATATACTTATAGATTTAGTCAGGTTATAATTTATTTGATCGATAACTTTTACTTTACGATTAAAAAATCGACCCTTATTTTATTAATACATAGTTTATTTTACTGCGTGTTTTAATCCTTTATTAAGTAAATTAAGTTACGTAATATTCGTATTTTATACAGCCTCGCGCTCAAATTGGCGTCAGCGAAGAGGGAGATTCAGACTCCGACTCTGCGGCCGGTTTTCATTCGGCTTGGAGACAACAACGAGCCTCAAACTGCACTTAAACTCTTTTGACTACGATACACAACTTTTGTTTTTACAGTAGCCCAAATTAACTATTGAACATAATACATACAGAACACAGTAGATTTCATTTATAACGACGATGAAGGGACCGGTGTAATTTCGTCACTTTTCCGCATCGTTGACACTGTAGAATACGAAGTTTTTAATTCTTCGCTCAAGTTAATTTTGCTTTCACCAAATAGAAATAATATCTACTTTTTATTTAACCGTAAACGTTCTTCTGACGGGTGCAAATGATGAACTAACGATCTAACATCCCAAAAGTAACTAATTTTAAGCGTATTATCACAGCTGCCGACCGTCTGGGATTACAAGAGGTAAGAAAATTTAAGAGCGTAGACGGGCTGCATTTTCCCCATACAAATGTATTCCCCTATTCTCTTCCTGGATAATGCCTCTAGAGTAATCGTTTTTGTTTATAAAAATCAGGGTCTATTGAAGGCATGTCTGTCATTTTTTTCCAAAAACTATTACAAAAATAACCATGATTTTCCAAAAACCTAAAAAATGCCCCGTTTTTACTTTCGTAATGAGAGGACTACCAAATAATTTTGAAAAGTTGTTAAGATAAAAACAAATGATAGAAGCATAGATCTATTCTTCCAACTATTCTCTATTCTACCAAAAATAACTAAATCGGCTTAGTTTTCGTGGAGAAAACAGGGGAATTAGAAACGTCGATCGGTCATGGTTTTTGTAGGTAAAATCGTTCTAAGCTGCAGTTGTCCCTATCGCACTCTACGGGGGGAGACCAGAGGCGAGGGAGGAATAGACTAATACTACGTAGTACTATTGCTGACTGCCTCGTTGGTCTAGTGGTTGTAGTAGTGCGATTGCTGATCATGAGATCCTGGGTTCGAATCCCGGGTCGGGCCAAAAAATCAATTATTGAGTTTTTCTGTCAATGAATTCTCAGTAGCTGCCCGAAGTCAGGAAGTTAGCGGTGTCTCACACCCGTGCCTCGAAAAGCACGTAAAGCCGTATTTATTCTCTGTTATTACTTATTACGTACATAGTTAGGGAAGTGACAACTATCGAAGTTTTTATCGATATCATAGTTATGTCAGTCGATATCGACGTTTATCCCATACTGATTTACAGGCGGCACTGAGCAGTGAAATCAGATGTTCATTTTCTATTTTTTTAAGAGACAACGAAGTAACAATTTAATGCTATTTTACGAGTTTATAGGTAATTAACGTTTACTATTATTTGAAATGAATTTTAGCGAAGTGTCTCTTGAAAAAATACAAAAACTAACCAAATAATACGTAATTAATGTTCGCACTAATAATTCTGCTTACTTGCACTAATAATACTGCTACTGCTCTTATTAAATAAATTCTTAATATTTATGTGGCAGAAGTTTTGCGCAAACCTTTGTTTACTAGTAATATAGATTGCATTTCATGTGCCTGTCAAAAGTTTTTTTTCTAAATCTTAGGTAGACTGTTTATGGAACATCAGTCGAACTTTAAAACTAATTCCACAGAATTCCCTTTTCCATGCAAAAAATACTATGCCTTTTGAATGTAGTTATAAAGAGTAATCTGCATTTTCCATTAAAAAATAAAACCACACTTGTGTCTCGCACTAGCGAAAATTCATAAAACAAATAAAAACCCTAACACCGAAGGACACAGTCGGAAGGCGAATTTCAATTATATAGTTTTATAATAATTGTTCGCAATAGAGATAGGCATTAGATAAAGATTCATATTGTAATTTGACATAAATGCATATTATGAGCGTCCACAATAGGTGGTATTGGACGCGCTGAGATAGGATAAACATTGGATAAACCACGTGCGAAACAGCATGATCGCACGAAACACGAATTCAAATGCGACTGAAAGACGAACGTATCTTCAATGATTCATTAAAACTGATCGCTATACCTGAATTTGTTGTAATATCTGTAGTGGCTATAACTGAACCAATCTCTATCAAAGGTATACGTTAAATTCAAGGGACTTCAAAGTAACGTCGTTATAATCGAAAATTCTTTATAACCGGAGTCGTTATTAATGAAATCTACTGTACCATGAAATGTAAACATATCCCGCATTGGAAACAAGATATCGCTGCCCAAAATTATTTGTTATTTTTTTATAAAAAAAAAAACTTTTTTCTTTTGTTTCCAATGACTAATAATACAACTCACTGTCAACTGTTCCACTTATATCTGCTATGATTCTAATATTTATTAAAATAATTTTTCATAATGTTAAAGCTTCACTGTCGTGTAGGCGATATCACAATGAGCTCCTTCTTAGACCTGATTGGGTCTATTTATTATGAGTATTTTATTATTTTCGAAAATTCATAAGAATTCATGAAATTCGTGTTATTTAATATTACACAAGTAAAAGTATACTAAAAATATTTTGTTTATATTTTTGAATACTGATATTAAGAAAACAATGTGTAAATATATCGACAATACACCTGCTGTTGTGTTACATATTGTGGGTGCGGAGGCTATCTTAGTTACAAACTGTGAGAAATTATGGTCGCCCTCAGACGTTGAAACACTTTCATTGGCCTTGTTTGTTTTAAAATTGGTTACAGGGGTAATAGTATGAAATTATTTATTGATCAAATTCTATTTTACTATAACGTGTCTGTTTAATAATTAAGAATATAATCAATTCTATGTACATTGTTTTAAATATCACAGAGAGTATTAACAACGTTTTATATAAGTGACCACTTCTATCCATATATTTAATAAGGAACCGTGGAACGGTCAATGTAGGTATATATAACTCTTTGTCGACCAAGCCGATTCGATCAAAGGGTGGTATGCGGCCTCGTGGCACCTCAATTACCGAGCTCGTTTTAGTATTATAGAACATATTATGTATGTTACAAACATTAATATACTTTCCCCTTTTAAATAATATATCAATGGTTACAAAATATGTACGCTCAGTTTCGTGCATGAAGGTTAGAGAGCTGGACAACGATCATCGTGTCCCAGAAATATGGACACCATCAGTGAGGCGCTGCGATCGCAAAGTTCTGTCAATAAAAGTCATTTTCAGTCTATTTTTCCGATAAGATACAAAACCACTTGCATATCCACCCACAATAAAATATTTCTCCATTTTTTTAAGTACGGAGCATGAAAATTTTCTACGAAAAAATGAAATGAAAATTTGTAATTATTCAACTAACTTCACCTACTTGTACTCATAAACAGCTAACTTCGCAGTCACTACTACCGACGGCAGCGCCGCTATAAATTACTACAATTTTCAAGGACAGGCGGGCTATGCTTTAGTACGTAGCGATCGTTCTCCTGTTCTCTTACCTTCATGGTTTCGTGTGTAAGTGACATCACATTTGAAAATTGAACTTTTATTCAGCTTGGTCAAGGTCAATTGTAATTTTTTTTCATTCTATTTAATGAGTTTTTTGAACACGAAACCAGTATTATTAAAGATATTATTCTTTTATTAAATTGGAAAATATTGTGATATTTAACTATTTCATCACTACAATATGTGTTTTCACATTCTATTTTAAGATACTTTGTAAGTAGTTATATAACTTGTTTATTCAGTTACTTATTAGTTATTTAGGGGGTTTACTAGGGATGGCAAAATATGGGATGAAATTTTGAATTCATTTATATAGACGACATTGAGCTTGTGAGATATTCCAAGTGTAAAAAGTATAATTTAATAAAGAGTAAGATTTGGTAACAAAGAATATAAAAAAAGAAAATGCCGTAAATCACAAGATTGTCTGACTTTAATTCTTGTACACACTATGTTGGAGTAAACACTGTCCGTTTTATTAAAGTTGTTTAATATTATAAATTATTATCTTATCGGTATATTTTATATACGAAAAATCTAATCGAAATTAAAAGGAAAAGTTTTAAGAAACTCATAAAAGCAGCAAATTCAAATAATATGATGTACTCTAATTAATTAATAACGGTGTCAAATACCTAATTATGAAGTGATTATTTGAGAACAATTATTATTAAAGTAATATAAGTATTTTACTCAAATACATTCCAAATTTCGTTATTGTGTGCCGAAATAACGTTCTATTGAATGTTTGTTCCGTATGTATGAGCTAATGAGCTAATAAAAATGAACAAACTAAGAGATTCGTAATACATATGACTAAATGTATGAAACATTCCCATAAATTTATGCATGTATTTATATTTATGAAATTGATTCAAAACTAGAATGCGTTGTTTTTTTTTATAAATATATTTTAATTTTTAAACTTACGAGTACTGCCATCGGGAAAAGTTCTTAATAAAGCTCTAAAGGCGTAAAAACACACTTAATGCTTGAAGTGCACCTTTGTTTGAACTTTTTAGTGACGTGTTTAATTGTTTTCATATTTGAAAACTTTGTAGCTTAAGTTTAAAATAAACACTGAAATCAAGTCTACCTGGACACATGTAAAGGTTAATTACAAACACCGACATATCTTTAATATTTTGTTCTAAACATACACATAGCGATAGACAGATACGTCACACTGCCTTCCTGCATTTCTTTCACCTTGTAGTATTTTTGTTACTTAATAAAGCTTATTTATACTATGTATAACTGTGAAACAGTGTATCGGAGTATTACATTAGATTATTGTAGCTCCTTAAGTTGATATCAAAAATAATTTGGGTTGCGAATATTTTCCTTTGTTTAATTTTAAGACACTGTAAGTTTATTTAAAAATTATGAAAACATCAAATTTATTCGGTTGCTTTTAATAAGAAAATTAAATAATTTATCTTTATAAAATAGATTTCCCTAATATCTAATACAAACTGGATACAAATTATACATGTTATTCTATACATACATATGTTTATATTGAACGACTTAATATAAATGTTAAATGTATTATCAATATTAAAGATAATAAATGTGTAATTGTCTTACTCTCCAATTTTCGGTCATATTTGGACGTAAATAATTATAATGTTATTACAGTATACGTAGTT